AGCAGAAGTGCCCGGACAGCTGCTGCCCGCCACCTGGGACACATATCACTGGAAAAGTGGACAATGGACGTTTTTTAGCGATTCCTCGGGTTATGCGGTGACCGACTTTTTTTTATATGATTTTCATCGCAAACTTGGAAATTTTGACAGGTTCTGTTCTGTTCTGTGCGTGTGTCAATCTTTAACTGCCCTAGTTTTGGGAGTGTGTTTACGGATTCGTAGTCGGATCTGAAGTAAAATTTTGAGCTCAAGGCAACTGTTTGAAAAATGAAATTCATTTAATGGATAACCGTATGTCTGGTTTTATTGTTAGGAACATATATTTATTTATCGAAACCTTCATTTTAAATGTAGTATATCCGATTACCATTTGAATTACGGGTTTCAGAGATTAAAGTATTTAAACATGTTCTTCACCCTTTGGATGGGACCAAAGTAAAAGGACTTCAAACTTCTCTTAAGGGCTATTGGAACACTATGTTCCAAATTGGGCCATTACTAAACACAGGATTTGTTATGATACTACGTTTAATAAGAAAACTTTTGGGGGCCCAGTATTCCCGCTCCCCCCTTCGATCCACCTATGCATGAAATACGGGATCCGGAGTTCGGAGTCCGGACTCAAGGCCTCTCTCCGCGCGCGTGAGCGAGACAACAGCTGTGACCCCGCCGCCGCAGCTGCTCCACAACAAATTACACTCACGCCCTCCCACTCGCACTCGCTGGCCAAACGTTACATGGAAGGGGCGGAGAGGGGATGGGAGAGAGCATGACGGTGCGAGAAAGGAAGGGGGTCACAGGAAAAAGTGCGACATATTGCAACTCCAGCGAAAAGAAAGCGGCCGCAATTAATATTCCCCTCTAGTAAACCGTATAAACTTACTATTCAGATGGGTTTTTTTCAACTAGCACTGAGAAAAAAGAGGTTTCGGGGCCGAAAAGCCCTTCGCTTGGCTTGGTCTTCCCAATTCGATTTTTGCAACTCGATTTCGCACTGCTTTGCTGCGAATTTCACACGGCCGACCACCCACGAATCGCGTGCGTGGCTAAGCGCACCCGAATAGCCTGGTTTTACACATTCTAAACCACTTTTAGCTTAAACAAAACGGTCACAAAACGCGCAACGCCGTGCAGAGAAATTTTTTCAGCTGCCTTTACCAAAAAACTGTAATGGCGTCGGCAAAAATGCACGAGCGAGTGAAATGGCAATAGTTCGCTCGGCCAGTCGTGAGTGCGCAAACTATTGGCAACTCTGGCCAGTCAACCAGGTGCGATATGTTAGCGATTTGGCAACACTACCCCTGCCACCTTGTGTTGTTGTTATTGTTGACAAAAATGGATTGTTCTTGAAATTTAGTGGGAAATAATTCAATCGAATTCAATACATCACTCACCTGCTTTATTTGCTCGCTGCTCTCATTAAAATTTCGCTTGTTCACGTGCTTGACCAGATTGCGTATGTGCGTTAGCGGTGTCTTCAGTTGGCTCTCTACGTTCATAATTCTACGTATCAGTTGTCAACTCCTGAGCGGATGTTTCCTAATGTTGTCGTTGTTGTTGTTTTGTTGGTTGGCCACCAGAATTTGTTGTTCTTGTTGAGCACAGCACACACGTTTACCGTGCGATGGTATTGGAGATTAGAGATATTTGACGTACTCGCTGTTGCTTCTTCTGCTTCTTGGCGCTTTTCTTTTCATCTACGGCGTAATTTGTTTTTGTCTCCGCTCTGCTCTTCTTTTTTTTGTTCTTTTTTGGTTCTGTGGATTCATTGGCCGCGGCCCCCGTGGAAAAGGGGCCATCAGCAGCTCTACATCGCTGGCGGCATCTATTTACGCATAAATCAAATAAACAACAAGCTCGGGTTCACGGGCTGGGTGAAATCGGTATCGGTTTGGCTTTGTCCTCGCCCGACTATACATATATTGCAATAGCTCACGTAATGAAATAATATGAATCAATCCGCACGTACAGCGAAAACAGAAATGAAAAAATACTACTACTACCAGACACACGCACGCACACACAGGCAAGGGGGAAAATATGTAGGTGCTCCTCGTCCTCTGTGGCCCTCAAAATCCCTCCGGAAATTTGGGTTTCGAATCGGTTTATGGGCTCGCTTTGTTTCGTTTGCGGGTAAATCACTTCAGATTTGTTTGCACTCGTGGATTTTTAATTATTGCCGAAAATGAAAATTAAGCATTCGCTTGGAAACGTGCTCAGAAACCGATACTCTGGTCACGACCGCTGGGCATTCACCCCGAAAAGTCACAAATCACGGTTCGTTGGCAGAGATAACAGATTTGGTATTTTTAACATAGGAAATATAGCAGAACAGGTTTTAGGGTTGTTAAATTAGGCAGGTAAAAAATGTTGCCGGCTTATAACGGTCAAAAGTCAGATATTTTTTTATTTAGTTATGAATAAAAAATTAAATAAATTGTGTTCATAGATTCAAAAGATTAATTCTTCCCTTTTTATATTGTAAGGCCTCGTTTTTTTAAGTATTTCCTTAATTTTTTTAAATTCCTTATTAAAGTTTGAGTAAATTCTAGATTTAATAGAGATTACTATTATATATTATTCTTACCAATAAGGACAGTCAAGAATTATGTGTCTTAAATGCTAAACAAATTATTTAAAGTATACAATCACACACTGGCAATATGGAATGATAATATGGCCCCCAAATTACCATATTATTATAACCGCGAGTTGGTATTTTTTTTGGGGGGCCTTCTGCCGGTCACACCAACCACCAACCCCACGCATCAACCCACTCCGCCCCCACGTAGTGTACATAACAAGCGGGCTTAATTGGCAATTTAGTATCAAGTTAAATGTGCGCGGCAGGCAGTCCTATAGTCAGTGCGCTCCTCCGGCAGAATGTTCTCCTGCGAGCCGGTGGCGTCCTCCGGAACGGGGACTCCATCTCCATCCTGTCCTCCAACCCGTGCAAACCGAACTCTAGATCCGAATCCCGCGCTTTTTCGTCGGACGCTGGGGCTTCCGCTCCAGCTGCTTCCGGCCAGATCTCGATCTCGCAGCCAAAAACAGTGAGTGATTTCCAAAAGCTTCACGAAGCCACCAAAAAGAAGTTCCAATGTAAGCCTCAACCACTCGCAGGCATATTCACATATGCGTAGTACATACATATGTGTCCGATCTATAAATACAAATTCGCAGAGTGGTCCAATTAGTAACACCCCCCCTTTCGAATCACTTGACATTTTCAGCCAAGAAACTGCCCGCAGATGTGCATCCGGATGCGGTGTTCGCGTGCAACGAGCTGGATCTCAGCGAGGTGCAGGTGTACGGGTTCGATTACGACTATACCCTAGCCTGCTATAAGCCGATCCTGGAGGACCTGCTCTACAATCTGGCCCGCGAGATGCTTGTGAAGAGGTTTCGCTACCCGGAGGACATCCTAGACCTGGAGTACGAGCCCAACTTTGCGGTGCGCGGTCTGCACTACGACGTGGAGAAGGGTCTGCTGGTGAAACTGGACAGCTTCCTGCAGCTCCAATTGGGTTCAGTCTACCGAGGACGCACCAAGGTGGGGGCGGAGGAGGTGCTGAAGCTCTACCACAACCGCCTGCTGCCCATTGCCTACGTGGAGGGGCCAAACAATAGCTATAGGGTTCGTATCTTATCGCCTGGATCAGGTTAAGTTTTATCAATCAGTGATTTACGATCTTCCTCCTCCCCGCCGAACAGCACAACACCAACTCCAAAATGGTGCAACTGGCCGATTTATTTTCTGTACCTGAAATGTGCCTGCTGTGCAATGTGATCGAATACTTTGAGCGCAATCGCATCGATTATAATCCCGAGATTGTTTTCCATGACACCAGGACCGCCATGGGCTCCTGCCATCCCATAATGCACGGCAAGGTTATGCTAAACACCGAAAAGTACATAGAACGCAACCCGAAGCTGGTCAAGTTTCTGGAGAAGCTGCAGCAGGCTGGCAAGAATCTCTTTCTGGTCACCAACAGTCCGTACTCGTTTGTGTAAGAACCCCTTTCTACCCCTTGAATCAGATTTTTTAAACTCACAAATCTTCTTTTTTTAGGAACTGCGGCATGTCCTGGCTGGTGGGCTCCAACTGGCGTGACTTTTTCGACGTGATCATTGTGCAGGCTCGCAAACCCAAGTTCTTCACAGATGAGTCTCGCCCTATAAGGCTGTTTGATGAGCGAACGAAGTCTCATCTGTGGGATCGAGTCTTTAAACTGGAGAAGGGAAAAATCTACTATGAGGTGGGAGTTTTCTTTTACAAATTTGGTTAGCATATGATCTAATTGAAGTGTTCTTTGCAGGGTTCGGTCAGACAGCTTCAAGAGCTTAAGGGGTGGCGCGGCGGTTCTGTGCTCTATTTCGGCGATCATCCGTACAGCGACCTGGCAGATGTTACTCTCAAGCACAGCTGGCGAACAGGTGCCATTATAAGTGAACTTGATGTGGGTATCTGATTTGTATGTTTATTGGATGGATTGTTTTAAAGGTCCTTGATTTTACAGCACGAAATTAAAACCCTCAATCGAAAGGACTTCAAGATGAGTGCCAACTGGCTGCAAATGCTGACGCAGCTGATCGAGGAGACCCAGGACGATGAGAGCGAGGCAGCCCAGATATGCCTTAGGGAGTGGATGGAAGAGCGGGATCAGCTGCGGTATGTATAGTTAATTTGTTGTGCAATATAGTACCTCATTAATTATTCAACTTCTAACAGCAACAAAACGAAGAACGTGTTCAACGAGCAATTCGGCAGCGTTTTCCGCACCTATCACAACCCCACGTACTTCTCGAGACGCCTCTTCCGCTTTGCCGACATCTACACCAGTGACATAACAAACCTGTTGAAGTTCTCCACAACCCACACCTTCTACCCCCGCCGGGGTGTGATGCCCCACGAATATGCCTCCCACTTCATCTAAAGAATGTAGAGAGGAACGCCTGTTAGCAAGCTCAGATTAGTTGTAGGTGAAACAGTGCCAGTGTTGATTGCTTGTAGCTCGAAACTAGTGAATTTAATGCGTGTATATCGTTATTTACATTGTTGCTCAATAAAATCGTTGTAATAGTTCAAGAATACCTCGCTCTGCTCTTCGGCCAGATATTCCAGCTTACCTTTTAGCTCTAGAATTTCCTTTTTGTTGCTTTGGCATTTTCTCAGGGCAATGAGGTCCCAGAGATAGGTCATTTGGGCGATGTACTCCATGGAGGTATCGCCACACTGGGCAGCAATGCCCTCTAGTTGATTTCGAATAATCCTCGCCAGGTTTTCATAGTCTTTCTTATCTAATAAAGTCCTCTCTGTAAGAAAGAGCATCGTTATAAATATTCTAACTATATAAGCAATAGATTATGTACCGTCAATTTCTACAAAGCAAGCTGTAATCAGTTCCTCTGCCAGATTTCTTTTGAGAATGTGGTGGTCTACCAGCCATTTGTCTAGATCATCAAAAGCCTGGAAAAGCGCCTTCCTTTTTAACGAGTCTGCACAGCTCTCCACGAGGTCAAGGAAGTCATTGTACCAGGCAAAATATTGCCTTTCTTTGCACACTGTGCAAATAATCAAGTTGTCTGCGTTGGATGGCAGCCACCAGTTGAGATTATTCCGCTGAAGTTCGACGTCTGGTAGAAATTCCTGCCGGCAGTTGGGTTTTTCGCAGCGATAGCGGTGGAAATTAAGCTGAAAGTAAAATACGTAAATAGTTATAGTTCTGTAGTGAGTCAACATGTCAAGGAATATCTACGGCTTCTCTATCAATAAAATATCCATTTCAATTAAGGAATTTACACCAGGCAGAAATTTTGATTAAACACTCACATAGTCTTGATCGGAATTAGTTTGGGTGCACTTGGCGCAGCTGCACTGGAATTTGTAGACCTCCTTTAAGGGTTCGGATCGCTGAATCTTTAAACTGTTTTTGTAATCCCTAGTATAACAATTGAAGATCTCCTCTCCCGCTGAAATGTCCCTTGCCGCGTAATTAACCACAGAACACCCATCGAACTTGGTCCGAATAGAGGGAGCGCAGGCATGGTTGCACAGGCTTAAGTAGGGCAGATTGATGGCTGTGATCAGCTCCGAATGGGCTAGGTTATGCAATTGACCGAGCTTAAGGTGTCGCGGCTTCTGCCACAAATCCGGTTGCAGCAGAGCAAACTCGTTTGGCTCCAAGCCAACTGGCAGCAGGGCATCGCCCACGTGACCATTCGCAAGCAGTTGGCCGGCGGATCGAAGAATCAATGCTGATGTAATCAGTTGCCAGTCCTTAGTGCTGGCTGACGAGGAATGGAACTGATCGAAGAAGTCGGTGTGCTCCTTTAGATAAACTTGGAGCAGGTTTGCACACAGGATATGATAGACTAACTCCGCCTGAGAAGCCTTATCCAGATGGCTGACCATGCGCAGGCTTAGCAAACATTCTGGAGTGGTTTCCCGCGCTTCTAGTTTCTTGGTCATATCAATGATACCATTCCAAATTTCCTGCGCACTGGTGCCTTCCTGCAGATGCGGCAGCATCTGAGGCATGTAAATAAGGACCAGCCGCAAGGCCAAGTGCGAAACGCCTAGTAGTTTGAGAAGATCCCTTTGGTAGGCGGCGCATTCGTGTCTGTGGATGGCTGAGTGCGCTTCTCGACATTTCCTGGAGCAGTAAACGACTCTTTGATGGCACTTCGGACACGGAATGGGGGCACTCATCAAAGTAGCGGCACACTGCTGACAAATTAGCCGCTGTTCTAAGGGGACGAAGCAGGAGGCTCTTTCGGAGAAGATGACTTTACCCTTGGCTATCGTTTCTTTGGCCACCATAAAGCGACCACGCTGACCAGAATCTGTGTGTCTGGAAAAGAAGAGTTTAGAGAGTAGGAAATGGCAGTCACCTGGCAAGGTAAACCTACATTTCCTCTAGAACTTTGTCCATTGATACCTCTAGTGTATCTAGCTCATTGGATTGGTTCTTTAGGAGCTGCAGTTTCTCCTTCAAGTCCTCTAGCTGCTGCTTGAAGCTATCGTTCAGCTGCAGCTGCTCCAGACACTTCAGATGCTCCTCCAAGGACTCGGTTTTCTCCAGCTTCCAGGCGCAGTGGGCCTGCCGCATGATCACCTTGTGGCGCAACCTCTCCGGATATCCACACTCCAGGGCATTGGCGCAGTCATCGTAGGCTTCTCGGTAGTACCCGTACTCCTGCAGGGCCATTCCCCGGTTGGCAAAAGCCAGGGCCAGCTCATCCAGAGCTTCCTCCGCCTCAAAAACGGCTCCCGTGTAGAGCCTGCAGGCATTCAGTACCCGATCCGAGGCCTGGGGAGATCCTGATCCGGTTCCTCGGAACACAATGTTGCCCTCCTCGCGTAGACTTCGCGATCTTTCCGTGCATTTCTTCCTGTCGTGCGGCTTCTCCAAATCCTGCAGCAGGTTGACTGAAAGCTGCTGGAATCTCAAGAGCTTTTCCGCCGGCAGAGAATCCAGTGACTTAAAGGTTTCATATTCATCCTTACATCCTCCATCCAGGTTTATTAGTTCGTCCTGCTGAGAAAAAACTCTGGCCAAACGATCCATTTTCGCCGGCTATCCAAATTGTTTACAAATATTTCAAGACGCAGTTGGCCATTTTTAGCTGTTTTTGGTGGAAGCGCGAAATAGGATTATCGATTGTCCATATTTTAAAATACTTTTCGTACACTCTTTAGTCTAGAAATATTAATATTTTGTCACGTTAAGTCCATATGAATGAAATTATAGGACATCATAGTCTTTAAGAATCTATTGACCATCAATTTAATACATGTACATATTGTTGTTAACATTTTTTCAAAATATATGAATATATAATTCATCTGGGCTTTGTGATCATTAAAAAAAACACATGTATATACTTATAGGACCGAAAACTTTGTTCTACTTGTTATAAACTTTTCGACGCTTATCAAGTTCATCAAGTGGTAAACTGTTCTAAGTAAATGTGGCTTTCATTGAAATGTATTTTCATTTCATTTATTTAAACTTTATATTATGAGCAATCTATTTTTTCTACTCCAAGGTTTTACCATTTTTAGGTTATATACCGTTAAATATCTTACTATGGTAACTTCTTGTAATCAATCGATATCGTTTTGCGATTATTGCTGATCTCCCACCGCCAGGGAGAAAACGTAAACAAAAAAGCGGCAGAACGCACACTCATGCAGGATTGCAGAATTCCGTAACGAATTTCATCAAATTAGACCGGAATACTCAGTACACGAACAAATTGGGGAGATTCTATCAACCTTTCCTGCAGCCAATAGTCAGAATCAGAATGAAAGACGCCAAGGTGAGTTCCCCGGCATGTTGAAGTGGCCCCGCAGTTACATCATGTGGTTTGGACTTCGGCTGATGTGTTTTTGGTGGCTCGCCCTAAATATCGTGAAAACTGATCAAATTGGAAACTTTCAGCCATTTCCTGTGCTCAAAAATGATAACCTGCTCCGTGCCGCACGTGGCGAGGTGGTGGATCGCGTGCCCGTATGGGTAATGCGTCAGGCGGGGCGCTACCTTCCCGAGTTCCAGGAGCTTCGCAAGCAACACGACTTTTTTACTGTCTGCCGCACCCCGGAGCTGGCCTGTGAGGTGACCATGCAGCCGCTGCGTCGCTTCGACCTGGACGCCTCCATTATCTTCTCGGACATCCTGGTCATCCCGCAGGCTCTTGGTATCTCCGTTGAGATGCACGCAGGCGTGGGCCCCGTCTTGCCGCAGCCCATCGTGGTGCCCGAGGATCTGAAGCGCCTCACACCGGACGGAGCCCTGTCCCGCCTTAGCTACGTCGGCGACGCCATCACCATGATGCGTCACAAGCTCGACGGCCGAGTGCCCCTTATTGGCTTCACCGGAGCGCCCTGGACGCTCATGGGCTACATGATCGAGGGCGGCGGCAGCAAGACCATGTCCAAATCCAAGGCTTGGCTCACCGACTATCCGGAGGACTCCAAGCTGTTCCTTAGCTTGCTGACCGACGCCATTGTGGACTACCTGGAAATGCAGGTGAAGGCTGGCGCTCAAATGTTGCAAGTCTTCGAGTCGTCCGCGGAACACCTCTCAAAGGAGCAGTTCCTGCAGTGGGGAGTGCCCTACCTGAAGAGGATACGCGATGAGCTGGTTGATCGTCTCACCAAGAAGGCAATCCCATTGGTTCCCATGGTATGTCCGACCTAAGCTTTAGTTTGCTGGGGTACTTAATTGAGTTCTTTTACAGACGCTGTTCGCTAAGGGTGCTGGACACTCGCTGAAGGAGCAGAGCGAACTGGGATACGACGTTATTGGACTGGACTGGACTGTGGATCCCGTGGAGGCACGCAATGCGGTTGGACCAAACATTACGCTGCAGGGCAATCTGGATCCGCAGGATATGTACCGGGATCCTGAAGAGCTGCGCAACCTGACCACCGAGATGGTGCACAAGTTCGGCAAGTCACGCTACATTGCCAACCTGGGACACGGAATCACGCCCCAGACCCCGATTACGAGCATGGAGGTGCTGGTGGAGGCAGTGCACAAGGCTTTATAAGCGCCGGCTCTCTTTATCCGTTAATTTAATCATGCTTTTATCGAATGCAATAAAGACAATTGGCCTTGGGTTTAGGGTAAGATTATTGGAATGTTATATTTAGTTGGTGTTGCGACTGTTCTTGCAGGATCTTATCGTAGATCATAAGGATGCTGCCGCAACAGATGAGTAGGGTGCCCAGGATGACTTCTGCGAAAAAGGAGCTATTATATAGGATGAAAAGAGGCGCGCAATACCATTCCACTTACTCCTCCCCGGCAGCTTTTCGCCCAAAGCATATCCGGTTATTGCTGTGAAAGCAAAACTCAGGGAATTGGCCACTGGCACCGCCACCGTAATGCTGGCACTCTGGAGGGTCCACACGTACAGGGCACTCCCGCACTGGTTTAGTCCAAAAGGTATCCAGTACCTCCACCGGGAGCCGATTGTGCAGGCTTCCTGGACGAAGTTCCTCCACTTGGAGCCCGTATCTCTGACCGACTCGATTCCCTGGCTCCCGAGGCGGATGAACGGATTGGTAACTCCCCACAACAAACCGACGGCAAGAAGTTGCGCTATATTTAAATAGGTAAGGGGTTTTTAATACATCAAAAAGGTACTATTTTTAAGTACTTACCGGCAATCTCCAGCATTCTTACTTGTTTACATCAATACAACAAAACCAATACTAAAAACTAATAATACATTTAGATAGGGGACTCCTATATTAAAATGTAATACTTATTTTATTAGTTAGTTTACAGAAATCAAATAAAATGTAATATTACATTTTTTATTGTCTTTATTTTATTTATTTATTAAATTTAATTGCAAACGAAAACAATGAAATAAATGCAATATCTTAAATTCAGAGGCAAAGTTCTTAGGCACATTAATAATGAATGCCCTTACACGATAATCCTAAACCGAATTTAAAAATCATGGTTGTTTTGCTGAGCGATGACAATAATAACAAAATTTATTTTATTTTCGTTGAAAACCCAGTAAAAATCATAAATATTTTGTCTATTTGGGCAATTTAGTCAATCAAAGGCTTATCAACTCACCGATAGTGCCTTGTTTCCACTGCTAACATCTCTAGCGCTCTCCTTTTTCCTACGAACGAGTTGGCATCTCCCCACCAGAATTAAAAACCGATTAGCATCCCTACTTTCCAATGAATATTTAAAAAACACAACAATAAAACACACAATTATAGTGGGGACCTACGTATAACTTAATAGTTTATTATTTTAGGATGTTTTTTTTAATTATATTAAGCTCCCAATTGGTTCTTGTGAAGGAACAAGTCGCAGCTCGATAGTCACGCCAGTGCAGCCACATTAATTTCTGCTCACCTCTAGCACCTCTTCTTCTTTCCTTTTCTTTTCGTTGCGTTTCCGGAGAGGTTGGTATTGGGGATTTCTGTATTTTAACGTTAAACCACGTGTAAATTTTGCAAATTAGCGTAGCTATTTTGTGCAATACCTACGTAATTCGGCAATGGTACGCTTTAATCGGGAAACATGGAGTTTTTCAACTAAACTGTGTTTCAAGAAAACTACGTGCACATGTCTCGGGCCAAGAACTTCATGGAGGGCATCTGCCGAATAGAGAAATGTTCCTATATGTGGAGTGTTGTTTATGTTGTGCCAGTTTACTAATTGGTTGTTTAACTTGAACCCTTGCAGGATATCAAATAGCACCGTTGCGGCCTAACAATGACCAAGACCAAGGGCGAGAAAATCAACAAATCGGCGATCAACGAAGTTGTGACCCGCGAGTGCACCATTCACTTGGCCAAGCGCGTCCACAACATCGGCTTCAAGAAGCGCGCTCCCCGCGCCATCAAGGAGATCCGCAAGTTCGCCGAGCGGGAGATGGGCACCACCGATGTGAGGATCGACACCCGTCTGAACAAGCACATCTGGTCCAAGGGTATCAGGTGCGTAGACCTCTAAATCCCCCGACAGATCATCCATGCTAATCGCACTATTTATTCCCTTCAGGTCCACTCCATTCCGCATCCGCGTGCGCCTGGCGCGTCGTCGCAACGACGATGAGGACTCCCCCAACAAACTGTACACCTACGTGACCTATGTGCCGGTGTCCACGTTCAAGAACTTGCAGACCGAGAATGTCGAGTCCAGCGACGACTAAGCAACGTAATTGACGGCCAACACAAATACGGTTAATAAAAAGTAATTTTTATTTAGAAAAAACAAAACAAAAGTGCCTTAAAGTGTGGTAAACTGCGGCTGCAGCAAGTATACGGCCTCCTCCGTGGCCATGGATAGCAGGTGAAGCTCATGGCTGGGCAGCTGGAGCACTTCCAAGGCACGGGCCTTCGGCAGAGCACTGTCGCCGAGGATTTGCTGGAACCCAGCCGCTCCAAGATGCTGGTAGATGGTGAGCGGTTGTTGTGGCAGCACATTAGATACGCAGAGCAGCAGATCCGCCGACTCCGGCAAATGCATAAACCGCATTTGACGAGGATGACGCGAATCCTGTAGCCCAAGGACCTGGTCCAGTTGGAAGTCACTCATGTCGCCGCTGTTAAAGCTTTGAATTGGAATAGATCATAGTAAAAGCCGGCTATATGTAGTACCAAAATATGTACCTGTAAATGCGAATCTCTGCTGCTGGTGTTGAAGCCAAGAAAGCAACATAACCGCTCTCCATGCCGGCTTCTTGTAGTATCCGCTCTATTTGCTCCACCTGCCCATCTACCAGTCTGCTCTCTAGGTTGTAATTGCCATTGCTCCATTTCCAAAGCTCCACAGCTCTGGAGGTCCTCAGTAAAATGGGCATGTCATCTGTATCGGCGACTGCCAACAGCTGTTTTACATCCCGTCTGTCCAAGATTGCCTCCCTGCTGTTGTTCTGTTTATCTAGGCATTGGATTACAATATGGTTGGCTTTTTGAAGTCCCCTGCACTGAAACCCGAGTTGTCCAAACTCGAATTTGTTTGAGGTCTCCCCATCCTTGGTATCCAAGTTCTGCTTATTGAGCTGTGTCAGTGCTGACGAACCTAGAGATAACAAAAAAACTTGAATGTAGATATGTGGACCAGGTTACACTCTTCAAATTTGGTTTAACAAAGTGCTGTCTTTGTATGGGACATTTTGAAAATCAACTTGGGTTTACAACATTTAAGCCAAGTTAAGAGTGTAAAACTCTAAAAAGTGCATTGATAATTTCCATACTTTTATAGAAAATTGCATGACCATGCCATAAGTAGGACTCTTTCATAGGGTATATCAAAACAACCGATAAGAAAACATATGAGTGAGGTTAGACTGCTAGCATTTAAAAGCAGCTCTCGACCAATTCCCTGCAGTTCCGAAGTAGATGTCAATAGACCAACGCCCACTCGTGAAAACCACTAGAATTATAACTAACCATGGAAATAAAATTGGCAGGATGCCTTTGCCTCTGTTGTTTGGCGTCGATGGCGTTGCCCATTCTGGCAGATTCTACTTCGCCCAAACCAACGCTAACATCGGCCTTCAGGTAAGCAATGTAGGTTGCCAGTTCTTTGTTCACTTAGAACCGCCTCTTGCAGCTCGCAATCCACAACTCCCGCTGCCTCCAATGCTTTGAAGACGAATAAGACCAGTGCCGCCCATGGAACGAAGGGTGAACTGCTGCCCATGGTCATCAACACATGGAACTTTACAGCTGCCAATGTGTTGGCCTGGCGAATCATCAAGCAGAGCAAGGGCGGCCTCCGGCAGACGCGCAATGCAGTGGTGGAGGGCTGCTCCAAGTGCGAGAAACTGCAGTGCGATCGCACGGTGGGCTACGGCGGATCTCCGGACGAGTCGGGCGAGACCACGCTAGACGCCATGGTCATGGACGGCGCCACCATGGATGTCGGTGCAGTGGCTGGTCTGCGACGAATCAAGGATGCCATCAAGGTGGCGCGACATGTCCTGGAGCACACACACCACACCATGCTGGTGGGCGATGCGGCCTCTGCCTTCGCCAATGCCATGGGTTTCGAGTCCGAGTCGCTGGTCACGCCGGAGTCGAAGGACATGTGGCTGCAGTGGACGGCGGAGAACTGCCAGCCCAACTTCTGGTATAACGTGCACCCCGATCCCAAGGTCTCCTGCGGTCCGTACAAGCCCCGGCCCACTCCGCTGACCCGCTGGAAGGAGGACCGTGCCCGTAATGAGTACGAGATCGGGCGCAAGAACCACGACACCATCGGAATGATCGCCATCGATGTGGAGAGTAACATCCATGCGGGCACCTCCACCAATGGGGCGCGCCACAAGATTCCCGGACGGGTCGGAGACTCCCCTGTTCCGGGTGCCGGTGCTTATGCAGACAACGAGGTTGGTGCCGCCGTGGCCACCGGAGACGGAGATATAATGATGCGCTTCCTGCCCTCGCTTCTCGCCGTCGAGGCTATGCGGGCGGGAAAGCCTCCGGCTGAGGCCGCCGAGGTGGGCATCCGGCGGATTATGAAGCACCACAAGGACTTCATGGGCGCCGTAATTGCTGTGGATCGGCTGGGAAACTATGCCGCCGCCTGCTACGGATTGGAGGAGTTCCCCTTTATGGTCAGTAGTCCAGCAGGAACGAATGGGCCTACGCGTATGGAGACAGTCAAGTGCATAGCGGGTCCAGAAAAAGTAAATGTGGTGCCGTTGTAAAGAGGCGGAAAGTGTAAAAATGAATTTAATAAAATCGTATTTAAAATTTGACCCACTGTAAAATTACCGTTGATTAACGATAGCGGAAATTATCGATATTGGAAAGGGCTGTCAAAATGTTCACCCTAAAATACTGTTCACTAAACACAGTACACTGAAGAGAAATGAGATAGAGTACTTACAGAAATAAAATCTGGCCCAGCTAATGAACCGAAAATATATGTATATAATATTTACACGAAAATTTGGGGGTTAATATAAAAATTAAATGAAATATTTATATTGTAGGCTTTCACTGTACCACTCTTTCTCCCATCACTAGCCATTGCAAATTTACTGTACCAAACGGCGGCATTTTCGGCATTTGCGCGTGGAACGGTCACATTTTCCGCCAAATTACCGACGCCAAATACAGAAGAGGAAAAGAGAAGCGAAAGGTGCAAAAAGCGGAGAGCAAAAACCAAGTGACAAATATTATTTCGTGGCTCGCGGTGTAAACAAAACAGCCTTCAAAATTCTTAAGAACGCGCAACCAGCGGGCCGCAAGTCGCTGACTAAGATGGCAATTCAACTGGACAAGATTCTGCAGGACATCGCGAAGGAGAAGGCGCTGCATCCAAACAATGGCGGCGCCAGCAAGCAGGAGCAGGAGGAGGCGTGGGCCAGGATCGGGCGCCTCAACAAGCTCTCCGTGCACGAGTCGCGCTCCATCTTCATCGTGCTGCAGAAGAAGTACGAGCAGGAGAAGCTCAAGGGCAACTCGGCGTGGAAGCTGTTCAGCCTGATGCACCAGATCCACCAGGAGCCCAAGGCCTCGGTCAAGGAGGAGGAGGAGTAAGTGTCTGCAATAGCTTTTGACCCATCAATAGACCTAACAGTCCTGCTAATCCATTATAGCGATCAAGTCCCCATGGAGGAGGTCGAGGAATATGAGATGCTGGAGGTGCAGGAGCAGGAGGACGACGACGAAGCCCACCAGTTTGGACAGCCGGCCAACTCCACTGGCTCGGCCTCCGACGGCGAGAGCCCCACAAAGTCGCACAGCACCGGCTCGCCGGAGAAGGATGAGCGCGTGTACTCCAAGCCCAACGTAGACACTCCGCGTCCGGCCTTCGAGGAGAAGAAGCTGCTCAACACGCTGGCCAACAACACACCGCGCTCCACGACAAACAGCTCGCTGTCCGCCGCCGCAGCAGTGCTCCAAAAGAAGGGCATCACAGTGAAGAAGACGACCGGCTCCGGATCAGGAGCTGCGCTCAAATCGACGCCTGGCCAGCAGGCATCGGCCGGTGGCTCAAAAACCAATTCCTCGCGCACTACCATTCAGCTGCCAGAGTCCCTGAAGCGTAAACTCTCCGAGGAGTACACTCCCATGCCGTCACACAAAAAGCAGACCAAGATCACGAGCCCCAAACAAACAGCTGCACCTGCAGCCTCCTCTCCAGCTGTCTCCAGTGTTCCAGACGCCCTGCCCACCGGCAGTGTCGTGCACACAACAACCGCCCAGCTGATGCAGGTTAAAAAGGAACGGGAGGACAACCAGACACCGCCGCCGGGCATCAACATTATCACTATTCCGGCTTCGCAACAGATCAACGGCGGTGGCGGAGGACCCACCTCGTCTACGGCCGCCACCATTGCTTCCACCTCAGTGGCATCTACGAACGGCTTTTCGCCGCACATCGAGGAGCTGGACTTCAAGAACGACATCATCTTCGATTCGAAGATCAACGCCACCTCCTCCAACACACCCGAGATTATCAACCTGGGCAACTTTGACAATTCGCTGCCGCCGACTTTCTTCAAGAATCTGTGCAACTCGTCGCGACACGAGTCCCTCGGGCTGTACGTGGCCAATGTGATGAACCGACTCTCTTCGCGTGCCTCCGCCAAGCTGGAGCTGGGCATCTTGCGCGCCATTCTCGATGTGCAGAGCGACGAACTGGAGTAGTAGCCCGACTGATACTCTCAATTTAAATGAATAATCAGCTTACTTATTAGACAAACTTGACGGTAGTTATGTAGACCTGCCCAAAACCTTTCTCGTATTCACTGTATTATTTGATTCGTGTTTAAACGTCAGCGTTGTGGCAGCCCTATGTACGTACTCTTTTGACTTAAAGCGCTTCTCGGTGGGTGCCACAACGCTGAATTTTAAATGTATTTGTAAGTTTTAGATTTGAGCCGAATTCGAAAGTCCCTAGCTTAAGGTCCAATGTGTCACTTGATTTTAAATACGTTCATTTGCAAATAAAGCTACATAACTTACTTGAATTGAGTGCGAAGAGCTGCCTATCCGGTTGCCAGGTATAAAGGATTGCATTGTTCGATTTCTGCTCCCAAATGGCAAGTGTATCGATGTTGTTTGAGGAGATTATCTTCAAGGCTGAGGCCTTATGAGGAAGTTTCTGCAGAAGGGCGAAGTTTTCCAGCACTTTTGGTGGCTCTGATGGAGGATGGTAATGTAACATACCATAGTTGCTAATAATATTTTTTACTTACTGTCCAATCTGTTCCTTACAGCTGCTACGTTTTCCTGCAACTGCTGCCAAGCCTCGTTGGCAATCGCGTCGATGCCCCGCTTTCTTTTGTAGTACTTATCCAGCAGACCATTTCCATTGCTGACCTCATAGAGACCTACTGTTAGTGGCTGGGTGAAGATCAGTTGGCTTTCAACGTGAAGATCTGGACGATTCTGGGCCTTGTTGTCCAGCAACTCATTTACCGGCAGCCCATTGACGGAATCCACCCAAAGGTTCTCCACATTGTTGCTGAAAATTCGTCGGCTCTCAGGCAGACTGTTGGCCACCAGCAGGGATCCTCGAACATCTTGCTCTTTGTCCCGCAGAAGGAGCTTATCCGGCTGCCAGAGGACTCCATTTACTGTTCCCTTTACGGTGAGATCATTGTAGAGATTCACATTGTCCAGGCGGGTAGTGCCGGAAACACTGTGATTCCCATAGATATAGGCTGCTTCATTGATCCACTGGACCAATGGAACCTCCGCCACTCGACTTCCGGGTGTACTATGCAGGCGGTTTATAGTGGCGCTAGTGACGGTTTTCAGTGCCTCAACGGTCAAGGGATTGCTACTCTTGTTATTTTCGGGTATTCTTACTATATCATCAGCTAAGTTCAACTGATTTATCAGGACATTCTTTAAATCTCCCGAGACCGAAACGTTTGCCAGTTCCCATTTTCCACTGATGGCATGTTCTCCGCCAGTTTTTAACGTGTGGGCTACAATGTCGTTGAAATCCAGTGAGAAGTTGCTAAAAAAAAAAGAAATATCTCGGATAAAGCTGGTTGAATAAGGAATTTTCGATTTAATGCTGATTTTAAAAACGTTTCCTTTTTAAAAAATGTAACGTATTTTTTGCCAAAAATTCGGACTGCTTTGTCGGGAGGGCGTCTCCGCTATGACGGGAAGGTGCCTTCGTTATACCGAATGGTTTGTATACCTACTATCTATCATGGCCCTTTAGTGTGGCCGTTCATCAAATATTTTCGGTATTTTTCCCAGAAGTTTGCGATTCCATCGAAGGTGTTTTTGTTGTTTCAAACCACAAACCTCTGCTCTGCCGAAACTGCCCCGACCGTAAAAAGTGCATTTAACCAAACCCAATCAGCGACCAATTGACGAGGTAATTAAGCACACCTGCAAGTGTTACTAACGAGTGCAATCCCCGCCTCGCACGCCGCGCGCAAAATGCTAACGTGTACAGAAATTTCACCTGCCAAACGGAATGCACAGCTGACTTGTGTGCACATGCAGTGCCTGCCAAACTGTTAGCGCGTAAACAATTGCGAAAGTGAAACGTGATACCTATAGCTACAATTCCACCTGCCCATTACCCTTTGCCCCGCGATCGTTGTTCCAATTTCACTTACCTGCCGCGGCCCTCCATTAAAACGTCACTTGTGCCACGTCGCAGTTCCACGTATTTGGCGACTGGAGGCTGTACGAACGTGACGTCATGCTGGAAGCTCAGGGGAGTTTTCATCTGATTGCTGCGCGTCCGGCTGAAATAGTTGTGCCTGATGTGGTCCACATGCTGCTTATTAATGGCTCCCTGGGGGATAAGAAGTTGAGCTTGAACACACCATAGCTTTCTGCCCGGTTTCGCCACACACCTGGAACTCCAGCAGGCCCTTAAATTGACCGGAATCCAATTCCAATCCTCTCAGCTCAATCTGCTCATTGTCTAGCCACACTTGATCCAGCAGTTTGCCCAGCTCCTGGCCATTCAGCAGCTTGTAAGAGGGTGCTCCTCCGCCAAACTTCACATTCTCTGCCAGAAAAGTGTCCAGTGTTTGTCCACTTAAGTACTTCTCCAACGCCGCCAGTGGATAACCGTTCAGGTTGGTTATGTTAGACGTCTCTGCTGCCTCCAAGTTACCTTCTATGCTAACTGGAGCAGAGAGGTAGCCCCCACCAATATGGTAAATAATATCCTCCGGCACACGAAGTCCATTCACTTTGCCCAACTGTAGCTCCGATTGCAATACAATGGGATTCTCTGAGAGGTAAAGTTCGTATAGTTGCTTTTATCATAATAAATCTTCTAAAGCTCACCAAATCGCACTGCTTGCAGGTGCTCCGATCCATTAAGCCTGTAGCTACAGCTGACCAGGTCTTCCAGGGTATGGTTGTTCAGTTGTCCACTTAGCCAGACGCCTTTGCTGCTGTCCAGCGAGGCCAGCTCCTGGGGAGCCGTGAAATTCTGGTCTCCCTCGGACTCCAGCCAACAACGACCAAACCTATGGGCTTCAATTCCATTCAGGGAGTTTTCAAAGCTGAGTGAACTGATGTTAACATCGTGCTCGAAGCTAATGTCACCCACATATTTAATGTTTCCCGCCAGTTGCTGCAACTGCTGCTCCAAGTGGACGACGTTCACCTGGTTAAGCTCGCCACTGAGCCACAGGTTCTGAGCATGGAGGGTGCCATTGAAGTCGGGTGGCAGATGCCAGCTGTCCAGGGACTTGCTTCCATGCTCATAGATGGAGGATAGTGGTTGGCCAAAGAGGAGGCCATTGAGGTGCAGATCTTCCACGCTCAACTCCTCAGCATCCAAGTTGTCTACGAACAGGGTTCCATTTGACTTCTGATCCTTGTTAACCTGAAGATAGTCCTCCAATCCCAAGCCATTTAATAAGAACTGGGATGAATTCAACTCGTCCACTTCCAAGCCATGCAGTTGCATTGGAGTGGAAATAGTTTGGTTGCCACTCTTGGATAGCAGCATGTTTGGTAGCTTTTCCGTATCAACGCCATTCAACCACTTGACCTCACCGAAGCCATCGGTTATCTCCACATTTTGCGGAAATATCTTACTGGCCTGCACCAACTGCACTTTACCCACGTTTAGTTGGACCAGATTTTGCAAATCTTGCGTGTTGAGGAAGCTCAGTTCCGTGTTGTTGGCGATGAGTGGTTGTAAAAAGTTCAGATTAACATTCTCTACAAGTTGATCCAATCGCACGCCCCTAATCAAAGATTCAGCTGCTGATCGCTGAGTGGGCTCGTCTACGAAATCACTCATTTGCAACAGGCGTCCAATGGTCACATCACCTTCTATGACAAAGTCCCCCTGGAGTTGCAGCGATTTGTGATTGACCTTTGCCGGTGACATGGCTCTCAGTTCAGCGCCCATCATTTGACCCTAAAGAGATAATAGTTTATTAGATTACTTCCAAATAATTATATACCTGTGTGTACCCACCGCAATGGTAATTGGTTCCATGACACGCACATTCTCGAATCGCTTGGCACCCTCGATTACCTGCGTGTGATTGGCCTGCCTGAGTAACACATCGAAACGCTGACGATCGACATGGATGTGGTTAAGTCGCTGGTTGATGAGCAGTCGATTCACCTGGATAGGCTGCGCAAACTGCACGTCCTGTTGAACTACGAAGTCTCCACCATCCACCGGGATGAGCTGACCCACCGGGCGATCGTTAACCTCATTGCTGTTGACCTGCACAGCATCCGCTTGGAAATGGTCCAAGTCCACGGCTGCCTTGATGAACTGCACCTCCTTGCCGATGCGTTTTAGGGTCTGATCCTGAAGCTCTGACCACTTGAGACCATTGAGCCTACCCTCTAGTTGCAGTTCCTTCACTGTCAGTTCCTCTAGCAGGGGTTTCCTTTGTTTTCTTAAAGGTTCGGTGTACTTCTCGCTTACATATACTTTACTGGCCGTCACGGACTCGTAAACATGGTTTTTCGTATCAACTCTATTGATATGGTCTGCTTTTACGGTTCCGTGCACCACCAGAGTGTCCACTGTGACCTCCTCGAAATCGTGTTCTTCATGTAGCCTGTCCACCGATCTCTTGACGGGATGTCTTGTGCTGGCAGGAATTATTTTCTCTTCGATTGCATCCAAAGCCTGCTTGGTTAGCTGTAGAGCTTTCCAGTAGTTCGGTGTTAGCTTCATGTGCTTATCCTCAAACTAAAGAAATAAGTTACTAAACAATACGATTTGATTTTACGGGTTCCATCTTACCGATTTCGCTTTCACTTCTTTAATTTCTGACCACCCTAGTTTCTCCTCACGCTGCTTCAGCTTTTCCTAAATACTCATGTGTGTTAACATCACGGAATCTTATAATTTGTAATCCACTTACCTCCAGTCTCTTCAAAAGCTGCTCTACATTCACCTGCTCCAATCGCTTTCTCTGGTCCCGAGCCCAATCAATGATTTGCTGGCGGAGTATATTGGCATGCTCATCCTGTTTGTATAGCGGTTGGAATATGTTCGTCTCATTGGCAGCCATGTTCTCATTGGCAATCACTGGGGGAAATGGAGTCTCACTTCATGATTAATCAAGATTCCTATGAATGCTTACCCAAATAGCTATAATCCCCCTCCTCATAGCTTCTCATTCTGGCCACTCCACGGCTCAAAGCTCCTTCCGTGAACTGCACCTTGGATTCCTCAAATCTCCAGTCGTTGAGGTTGTAAATCTTGACATCCTGCTTATTACAGGCCACCAGGAGTAGAAACTTCTCGGAGATAGAGTGCTGAAAAGTAGGGAATTATGACAATGTGATGACTATGGCTATATAAACGCAAGTTACCTGAACTGGCAGAACCCTTTCCACTGCATAGAAGCTCAACCGCTGATAGGGCACAAACTGACCCTTTTCGAAGACATAGATTACAGTGTCTGCTTCTCCCACTCCGGAGCTGGATCCTCCAATTGTGTTGCTCAGGATGAGGAAGTGCCTGCGGCTGACCTCGTTCACTGGGAGACTGAAATACTTTACGTCCACGGCTCCATTGCTGCGCAGTCGTTGGAAAAGCTGAAATCTCTGGGACTTGGCATCCCACCTAAAAATCTCCGAGCGAGTCGCAGTACGTCCCTCTGCATCTGCATAGTTGGCCACGGCCACGTAGTCGGTGTAGTCGATGCCAAAGGCCTCTAGTCGCCGAGCACTGCTGCAGGGAATCGCTCCCAGTCGCTGGAAACTCATGCCCATCCACTTGAAGTACGGACAGCTTGCTTCCTCTTCGAAGGCCTGCAGCAGAGTCAGCTCCTGGCTGCTGATCCTCAAGTACATTCCCCTCAGTTGTGTTCCCGAAAAGTACTGCACTGTCCGTATTCCCGTTTCCGGGGAAATCTCGTAGATGGGTGATCCCTCACGAGCCTGGCCCACGGGTTCGGTGAGGTTGTAGCTCACAGCCACGTAGCCACGTCCAGCGAAGGCCAGGCAATCCAGAGCCACCGCTTGCGGGGCAGCCAGCTCCACGAGGAGCTGATAATCCTTCTCTGCTGGCCGCCAGGTGAACACGGCAAAGTGACGCAGTCCAGTGGCATCTTTGTGTAGTGCTGTAGCATACTTAACTGTGGGCAATTGGAGCATGCAAATGTCCAGGGGAAAAGACACGGGCACGGAAGACACTCGCGTCAGGCCATCGAAGCTAAAACTTGCTGGGAGTGGGTTGTAAATGTTTTAGATTCTCTTTAAAATGTAATTAATTGCTTGGATTAACCACCAGTTTTCTTGATCTTTAAGTCATTCTGTAGGTTAGGATCGTAAGCCGTCCGCTGACTAAACCAAACAATTCTCTTCTCAGCCATGGCCGAGGAGGAGCTGCAAACGTACCGCCGCTGCATTGGCAAGCAGCTGGAGGAGCTGGAGCTGATGAGCTCCATATATTGCGCAACCGGAGAGCTGGAAATGCTCGATGCGGGCGTCGTGGCCGATTTCAATGAGTTCCTCGAGGAGTTTAAACCCGCTGCCAATCTCCGATCACATCTGGAGTACATGGTGAAGTTAAGTCTGCCCGCCAAACAGAGTGTGGAGGTTAGAGTGGAGCTGCCACATCTATATCCGCTTTTAGAGCAGGCAAGAGTCAGTGTTCATACACCACTGCTAGGAAAAGCTAAGGAGCAGCGCTTGAAGATAGACTTGGAGCTGTTCCAGAGCGAAAGGCGGGAGGAGGAGCCTGAGCCGTACATCTATCAGTTGCTGAGCTGGCTGCAGGAGCACATCGAAGATCTAATGAAACGACCTGCCTCCGAGTTTCAGTCAGAGCAGCCTGCCCAAGAACCACAAGATCTCCCGCCACCCGCTGCCTCCCATCTCGAGCGAATGTGGATTTACTCGCACCATATTAAATCCACCGCCAAGCGGCAGGAGTTGATTCGACAGGCCCGCCAGCTGCAACTCACTGGCTTCAGCAGACCTGGAAAACCGGGCATCATCTGCGTGGAAGGTGACTCTGAGAATGTCCAGGAGTTCTGGCGCACCATCAAGGCTCTGCGGTGGCAAAAGATCAGCGTGGTGCGAACGGAACCACGTCAACGAAAGCGGGGATTCGAAGACTTTAGTGAACAGCTCTTCAACGCCGAGGAGGGCGTGATGAACATGGGCCAGTTCATCCGATTCCTCGAGGCCCACGGCTTTGGATACATGAAGTCTGAATTGTTTGGTTTAGCCTGAGCGGGTTTGGCCCACAAAATTCAAGTTGTAAATAAAGTTCGTTATTTCATTTCAAACCTTGGTCGAAAAACTGAGGCACGTTCGGCGCTCGTTTATGCAGAATAGATTCGTCATCCGAACTCAAAAAGTGTGTGGGATAGGATTCCTGGAAGTTGACTTCAAAACTGAGCCCCTGGGCAAACACACCGGCAAATATCAATATAAACAAAACGCGACACATTTGAGACATATATTTATTTTTTGTAAACGATACAAAACGAAATACTCTGTACAATTGTACCACGTGCACTGATTGCCAAATACTTTTTACTACCAAGAGAATATTTCTAGAACGGTTGTTAAAGCTCTGTCTCAAAGATATTGTCAGCTGTTTGGTTACCCATTAATGTATAGTGTGTATTATAACTGAAAAGAACTCGAGGGCCTCTAAGTAATTATTTATGTTGGTAGTGTTTAAATAATAAGCTTTACACTGGTGATATTATAACTTTGAAGTGGTCCCTATATAAACCCATCTGCCTCAATTTCTGTCGCAAGTAAATCAGTCGGATCATCTCGAATTCTCTTAGTTGACTTGGCCGTTGGTTCCTCTGTGGATAACTCCTTACTCATATCCCTCTCAACATTCCCTGACTGATGTGGCTCATCTGTCTTTGGTTTTCCCCTCTTCATAAAGTCACAGTAGCAGCAATGCTTTGATTTTCCAGAAAGCTTCTTCATTTTCGCAGCCTCCCTCCACCGCCGAACCCAGGAGATTTGATAGTAGGCCCGTCTAAAGTTTTCATTGTTAAATCCATAGATCAGTGGATTGACGGCGGCATTTAGAAACATTAAGTACTGCGAGATGTACCAGAAGAGTTGCATTCCACTGCTCACGGAGACATCCTCGCCGAAGTATTTTTCCCTTAGAACCACTAGGATTGTGAATGGCAGCCGGAGAGCTGCAAAAACCACAACCACAATAAAAAGAGTTTTCGCCACGCTGCGTTTATAGCTGACTGTAAGTGGATTCTCGCGACTCAGGACTCGTTTTTCATATCGATCCAGCTGGATTCAGGGTGACTTGTTAGAGAAAGAACCAAGATAAGGGAACTGTCTTCGCTTACCTTATAAAAAATGGCTATGTAGCAGATGAGCATAATGCCCAAAGGCAACCAAACTAGAATGGTGATAAGCACATACCAGTACTTCGGTAGAATGGAGGTGTTCTCCTTGCAATAACGCTCCGTAAAGTTCTTCCAGATCCGAACCCTGTATGCTCGATATAAGGCCAAGGGTGATGCAAAGAGGATTCCTAGGATCCAGGTGCAGACCACCACAATCTGGACACCCCGCACAGTGAGACGCGTCTCCATTGGCAGAACGATGGCCGTGAGACGATCATAGCTGACCACCGAGAGATTCAGAACGGCTGTGATGAGGAACACCACCACGAGAAAACCCTCCATCTTACAACCCACGTAGCCTAACTGGTAGTTCTGATAGAAGTCGTTCAGCATGAACATAGCCGGGCAAATGGCCAAAGTCAGCAGATCCGCCACGGCCATGTTGGCAATGATCAGGTTGGTGGGCGACCTCAATGAGCGGTTGGCGGCTATCAGATAGACCATAGTGAAGTTCCCATACAGACCAAAGGCAATCAGAGGCACAAAAGTGCAGATCTTCCATGTTATCTCCCCGTTGGACTTGTGCAGCCAGATGCGTTCGGCTGGGAAATCCCACTTGCTGAAGTCAAACTAAAGGATAAAGGTTTAACCAACCATGTAGTTTGAGTTTACAATCCTACGAACTTCATTGCTGCTTGAGAGCGTGGTCATTCCGTTAGCTTCCTGCTTTGACACCTTCCACAGAGGAACTGTCCTCGCGTGCAGCAAATTAACATGACCGAAAACTGATCCCACATAATTCAGTTTGCTGATTGACAAAGCTATTAACAAGTGTCACAGATAGTGTTCGCTAAAAGCTAATGGCTCTGTGATTTGGCCATCTGTCGCGCCTCTCTCGGCGATTCTCATGAAGTCAAGTAGTAGGCACTGGTGAGGATTGCATTTGCTTTTAATTGAGACATTTCTCCCTTATCTCGTTATACAACTAATTTGAACACATTCGGTTTTTAATCGATGTCGAGTTTGCGGAAGGATCCCTCAACGCCAAAAAGGGAATCGGCACTAACCCGCTTGCCAGGCCGCAGATGCTCATCCACTCCGTACTTTGACTCCTCTGCAAAATAGTTCTTGTAGGACAGCAATTGCTTCTCAGCCTCCGCCTGGATATCGGCTATACGTCCATTAGTGCCGCCGTATTCCTCTGGAAGATATTCTCTCGGTATCACCTCGTTTAATTTCTCCAGATTCTTGTACACTTGAAACTGCGAAGAGTAAAGTGTTAGTCACGATATAGATTACAGCCTATCTGATGATATAAATATTTATAACCCCTTGTTTTTCTCTAGGCCTCGGCCTAGCGTTTAAATGATAAGAGCCCATGTGCGTGGTCAACTGACCTTAGGCAATGCTTTACCACTCTTGACAATGTGCGAGCATTCCTCGAAAGTTAATTGCTCTGATTTATGAAATATTAATTAATAGTTCAAGGGTGAGAGAGTGGCAGAACACTTCAACGCTTATCAGTTGCCTGCCAGGCTAGCTGATAATCCCCGTGAAGTATTTGATAAGCCACGGAAATAAATTAGCTTAAGTGCCTCCGACTATTCAGAATTTTTTAGAATACTACTCACCCGTTGTTGAAGCTTGCTGGGCATGAGGCTTTTGGCCAGATTCAGTAGAGCAACTCCCTCCTTGGGACAGTTGAATAGGTGTACTCCCTTTAGGCGAGTAGGTTGTGCCTTCTCCGCGAATATACCCATCTTTTTGATAAGCGTAAAATCCAGTTGGGCTAGGAAACTAACACTCAGTTTGGCCATGTCGATGATCTCGACGTAACCACTAACATTGCTGTTGTCATCATCAATGATTGATTGTTCTGATATCATAGTTTGGTAGCGGAAGAGATCCAGTAACTTGAATTGCTTGGGCTCGAACTTCTCATAGTTTGTAAGCTGCAGGCGAGGGCCACCGGGTCCCCAGGGCTTAGGCAGCCGAACATAGGTTCTGTAATTAATATTTAGATTATCCATAGTCCTTGATTGGTGTATCTGAAATCCACTCACCCCGTTCGACACAAAGTTAGGGTCTTTTCGTCCACCTCCCGACGGCCAAAGAGCTCTGGCATTAGGGTTTTGATGGTGTAGAAGTGATCCAACTTGGACTTGGTCTTCTCCAAGCTGAACTTGCAGCCCCGCAGGAAGCCGACCAGAAACTGGTCATCCGTACGGGCCCTCAGATGCGGCTGCTTGGCCACCCAATCCCGCAGAGCCTGCAGATCGGCGGGCAGCCGCTCCTCCACCTCGTTTAGCTCCGTTTCGGCAATGCGACGGAGTTCGGCGCTCAGGGGACGCAGATTGGCCATTTCTGGGGAGTCGCTTGCTTCGTGGCAGCTGGAAGGCTACTAAACGCTTCTCGTAATCAAACGCTAGCCGAGATCCCCGGCCGAAACGTAACCGTCAAAAGCTAATCTGGTGCCTTTATGGCCGCTCATTTAGCTGATAGCGCACTTGGCCACTCCCGTCACTCTCTCTTTTTGGCTTGTCGTCCCACGAGATTCCATCCGATCCGCGGAGTGGGCGGTCGAAGTCTCTCGGCGGAGGAGATTAGATTACGGCTCCACTGCATCGGTGGCGGGAATATGTTTGCAGCTGCCGGGTAGTTGTTTTATTGCAGAGTCTGCGAATTGAACCGCGCCACAGTTCAAATGGGTGTGTGTGTATGCAGGCCCATATCTTATCGCTGGTTCGAAAAGGCACAGTTGACTGGAAATACCCAATTATGGGCCCTAAAAGTTGATGCCTTTTCAAGTGGCTCTCCAAATATTTTTAGACGATTTTTTAGATCGTATCAGTTCATTTCAAGTTTAAAAAACAGTCACGTTCACCTTGTCTAAGAACTAATTACAGAAACTACAATTATTATCACTAATCAAACGTAAACAATTTTTTATAATAATGTTTATCAACTAGATTAATCTCCTATTGGCATATCATTATTATAATCATTATTAGACTTGAAGAATGTCAAACCAATGTGATAGTTTATGTACAGGTATAGCGACCAGGTGGTTATCATATCTTAAAAACACGTCTATTTGTGTTTGCTCTATCGGTCTCTGATACCGCTTAATCTGGCGCTCCAAACAGTGTGTCACTCTGAGTTTGCTCCATCTGGCAGCGTTTTTCGGGAGCCCTTGCACCAGTGTGCCTGCTATCGAAGCGAGAGGGTTCCCGTTCCGATCAGAAGTTCGGAACAGAGTTTAGGCAGGCCGACACCGATTTTTCGATTATTCGTGCTCGTACCTGGGCACAGCACACACACACCCCTCGGCACAGTCCAAACCTTTGGCATCGTATCTCAAAATTTAAGGCAAGTTTTGATCGCTTTGCAGATCCCCTTTGACCATGGCCAAGATACGATCGCTGGTGCCGGAGCTTGCCGAGGTGGCTCGACTGCAACTGGGCGAAGACCCATCCGCCGTAGCAACGAAGATCGAGGCCCTGCGGACCTGGATCAACGAACAGAACTACCTGGAGGCCCGAACGGACGACCAGTTCCTGGTGGCCTTCCTGCGATTCTGCCGCTGGGACGTGGACGACGCCAAGAAGAGGGTGCTCTTCTACTACACTTACAAGTCCAAGGAGCGCGAATTGCTCAAGGGTCGTCTTGTGGATGATAAGCTGCTGGAACTGGCTCGCTCAGGGTAAGTTGGGGATTCCCCTACTTCTGAAGTTACAAGTTCTAATAGCATAACTTTCTTTGCAGAATCTTCGCCACATTGCCCAACCCCATTGGCCCGGGGGGCCCCCGCATCCACTACACACGAATGGGCCACATCGAAACTTCCAAGCACAGCGTCAGCGACATTTTCCGCTTCCATGCCTTCCGAGCCGAGATCGAGATCAACACCGATGACAACTGGAACGTGTCCGGCGTGGTGGAGATCATCGACTTTACCAAAATCCCCTACTCCCTGCTCTTGCAGTTCGATCCGGGGATGTTCAAGCGGATGAACGCCTTCCTAGAGCATGGTATTCCGGCGAATCTAGTGGCCACCCACATTGTCAATGCTTCCAGGGAGACGCAGTTTGTGCTGGGTCTAGTCCGAAATGTCATGAAACAAAAGGAGCTGGTGAGTTTGAAAGGAAAACCCTGTGTATATTATGAGTCTAAATTTACGATATCCCTTCATGCAGCTGCACATCCACTCCAACATCGAGTCCCTGAACAAGGCCATCGGCAAGGAGTACCTGCCCGCTGAGTTGGGCGGTGAAAATGGCTCCCTGGCGGATGCCATGTCCCGGTACGAAACCCAGTTGATTGGCTTCTCCACGTACTTCAAGGAAGACGAGCGATATGTCGTGAACGAGAAGTTGCGGGCGGCCAGCGAGAAGGATCAGGACAGGTCCGCTCCCTTGGTGGCCAGCGTGCCCAACGACGGAACCTTTCGGAAGCTGAACTTCGATTGAGGCGATCACCGGGCAGTTAGTTGTATATTCTGATGCACATCCTATAAGTACGCCCCTCTAAACACACACACAGCCCAATATATATATATACACACTGGAATGTATAGACACTACAGCGCTATAGCGATCATTGGTCATAGCAGAACCTGATATTTTATAAATGGAAACATAAATGAGCAACATCGAAACTAAAAGCAAATTGAACAATATGATAAAAAAGTGCACACTAAAAAGAAATAAGAAGAAAATGGAACGCCATTTAATGGCACAACAAACAAAAACCTCACATTATTGTCGATTTTAATTTATTGTTGTCCTTATCAACGCACATACTTAAACACATTCTAACGTCCGGTCGTATCGAGTGTAGAGTATACCCGATCGATTCATCCTAACATGATCCCATACTGCATTTTCATGGTGAAATCCTCAACGTCTTCTAAATACTTGCGTGCTAAGTTGTTGTTGGCTTTTATTTTATCGCATACATACGGTACATGAGTATATATATATACATATATTTTCGATATTTTTTTCCGTTGGTTAAGTGTCGTTTCTACTAATTTTTGATACTAGTTTACATATATACATGCATCTATATTTATGGATAATACATACATAGTTAAATGACTACAGTTAAAGTGACAATGTATTGTAGACCCCATGTTGAGTGCGTTAATAAATTAAAGCGAATTTGTTTAACTGTCGGTACAACTAAAATTTAAGTAGAGATTTATTACTTGAGGGTATTGTTTCTGTATTTATGGGGGTAATATTTTTTATCTGGTTTAGATAAACGCCTAATGTCTGGCTAACATGTCGACGTTTGGACAAAAGTTTGGATAAGTCATATAAATATACTTTGAAGTATGTCAAAAGCAAGGTAAAAGCACTGAAATTGTTTGATTGTGGGGTTTTCTTCGTAATATATATTTTTCCCTACCAATTTGAATTTGAATTTTTACCCGCTCATTAATAGAGCGTGATGACTATATCTTTTCGAGTACAGTGTTGAAAACCGATGTGTTTGAACTTTGGAACGATATAAAGCTTTCTCCCCAGCTTTTTGACATTCCATCTGTTTACCTTGTTAAAAATTGTTTCCTTAATTGTTGATTGTTAAACAAAAACATAATTTGTCAAGATGTCAAAGGCAATCAAGTACTATTATGATTTCCTGTCGCAGCCATCACGCGCCCTTTGGATTGGAATGAAAATGAGCAAGACCCCTTTTGAAGACTGCCCGGTTGCCCTGCGAAAACGTAAGAATAACAACAAGTTAATCATAAAGCCGGCTTATGAAATTTTTGGAAAATGTGTATTCCAGAGGAGCAGTTAACCGACGAGTACCGGAACATCAATAGGTTCCAAAAGGTTCCGGCCATCGTGGATGGTAAATTCCAGTTGGGCGAGAGTGTCTCCATAGTGCGGTAAGTTTCCCATCAAATCCATAGGTATATTATTGGCACTATATCTATCTTATATTTCAGTTACCTCTCGGACAAAGGTGTCTTCAGCGAGCAGCTGTATCCCAAGTCCTTGGAGGATCGTGCCCGTGTTGATGAGTTCCTGGAGTGGCAGCACTTCAATGTTCGCCTGGTCTGCTCCCTGTTCTTCCGTCAAGTTTGGCTTCTACCGGCAAAGGGACTGGCTCCAGCTCCAAAGCCTGAGGCTGTGAAAAAGCTTATAAAAGACGTGGAGGGCAATTTGGGTCTCCTGGAACGAGTCTGGCTGGAGAAGGACTTCTTAGTTGGTGATAAACTTACAGTGGCGGATATCTTTGGAGCTTCGGAAATCAATCAAATGAGTAGGTCTAGACTTAAGGTCCCAGAAGAATATGATCTAATATCGTAACCTATCTGTTTCAGAGCTCTGCCAATACAATGTAAATGAGAAGCAATTCCCCAAGATAGCCAAGTGGCTGGAACGCGTGCGAGAGGCCACCAATCCCTACCACGACGAGGCCCATAGTTTTCTGTACAAGGTCTCCAAGCAGGCAGCCAGTGCTAAAATTTAATTTTATTTTGAATGTTGATCACTTGTTTTTTTGCATTTATAATATTAAAATTGTAAGACATTTCTGTAACCAGTTTGTGCCTTGTTTTGTGTTTACTGTGTTCAATCTCTTAATGTTAAATTAAAGACTTTATTCTGATAAAAATATTATCCTTGCCTTGATTCTTTTTGCCTGTCTCCTGTATAGAAAGTATACACATATTCGGAGTTCCCAACTTAGTACATCTCTTTAGATATGCCAAGAAGAGCGGGACAACCATAATAACCGAACCAGTGCTGCAAGTTGGCGCTATTGATCTTTGGACTGGAGCTTTGTTTATTTTCTCTTTTTCCCAGCTGTTGGGATCAAAACATTCGCCGGCTGCTTAGTTTTGGATTGAGGAACCATAGCAATTGACCGCCATGTCCACGCCAATTAAATTCTATTACGATTTGTTGTCCCCGATCTCCCGTGCACTGTGGTTAGCTTTAAAATTGGGCAATTCGCCCATTGAATATTGCCCCATTGCCCTCCGTAAATGTGAGTAGTAGAGGCAAACCTTATAGACTTCAGCGGCTAATTTATTTTATTTTCTTAGTTGAGCAATTGACCGACGAGTACAAGAAGATCAATAGGTTCCAGAAGTTGCCCGCTATAGTGGACGGCGACTTTCATTTATCCGAAACTATCGCCATCATACGGTAAGGTACTTGTATTCTTATATTTGCTTTCATAGCGTATTTAGATAGTACATTGCCCCCTATAGTTATCTCGCAGACAAAGGTCAGTTCGACGAAAAGCTTTACCCAAAATCAGTGGAGGCTCGTGCTCGAGTGGATGAATTCCTTGAGTGGCAGCACTTGAATATCCGACTGGCCTGTTCCTTGTACTTCCGAGATGCTTGGCTGTTTCCCATGAATGGAATAGCACCCAAACCCAAGACAGAACAGCTTCAATCGCTGATTGATGGGGTAGAAACCAACCTGGGTCTCCTAGAGCTTCTGTGGCTGGAAAAGGACTTTCTGGTGGGACAGAAACTGACAATGGCTGATATCCTCGGTTCTTCGGAAATCAATCAACTGAGTACGTTTAATAGAATGAAGAGTCTTGAAGGGAACTAATCTTTATTCATTTCAGGGCTCTGCCAATTCCAAGTGGATGGGAAAAAGTTCCCGAAGGTGGCCAAATGGCTGGATCGCGTCAGGGAAGCAACTAATCCTTACCATGACGAGGGACTAAAGTTCATTAACCAAAAGGCAAAGCAGCCAACTGTTGCAAAGTTGTAAAGACTGAAATACTTAAAACCCAACCAAAATATTTTGATAATAAACTTCCCCTGCCAGTTATTAAAATTTAACTTGTTCTTTAGTTCCGATTAGTCTGAATTTGTACAAAGATTAAAAATTACTGTGTTCTATATGGAGTGTCTCTAGATTAGTCGATATCGAGTTTCCTGAAAGATCCCTCGATTCCAAACAGGGACTCGGCATTGACGGGTTGTCCTCGCCTCAGCTTTTCATTTGTGCCATAGGAAGCCTCCTCTTCGAAGAAGGGTTTATAGTCCAAGAGCTTTGTCCTCCATGTACTGACGACATCTTGAATGGTTCCATTGCTGCCACCATATTCAGCTGGTAGGCATTCCTTGGGCACATATTGGTAAAGGGTCTCCAGCTTGGAGTGTATGTGGAACTAGGAGATAAAATATCATCATTAGTTGTTCCGATATCTCAATATTTATATGTGAAAAACTTACCCGTTTTCGTATCTTCTCACTCATCAGACTCTTGGCAATAGACATTAACTTCTCGGCACTGGCGGGAGCGTTGACAAAGTGGAAACCCTTGGGCCTGTAGGGATAGGCCTTATCTCCCAAAACGGCCAGTTTCTTCACTAGAACTGCATCAAACTGGAATATGTGACCTGCCCCAACACCCTTCATGTCGATGATCTCCACAAATCCAGATATCATGGCATTGTCGTCCTCGCGTATCTGAATCTCACCGAACATGGTGTTCACCTGGATGACCTCGGCAATGGAGTACTTTTTGGAGTCGTACTGCCCATAGCGGGAAATATGGATCCGAGGACCATCTGGCGTCAATGGCTGGGGCAAGCGAAGAAGGCAACTGTAAGATTACATATATTATTAAAGGGTATCCTTAAAATAGGTTATATAATATCTCACCCTGTTTCCAGAATGCTTAGCTGCTTCTCGCCCACAATGCGATTCTTGTAGAGCTCTGGTACCGCTCCCCTCATCGCATAGAAGTTGTCCAACTTCAGTTTGGTCTTCTCCAAACTGTATTTGCAGCCCCGCAGAAAGGCGATCAGGAACTGGGCATCCTGGCGAGCCTTCAGATGCGGCTGCTTAGAGATCCAAGTGCGCAGCGTTTCGATGTCCTCATCGATCCTCTCGGGCACCTCCCCCAGCTCGTCGTGCGCCTTTTTGGCCAACTCTGGGCTCAGGCTGCGAATGGAATTCGAGTGGGCGTCCGACATGGTTATTTTCTTATCACCACCTGTTCGATGCAAAGCATAGGTTTGATTTATTGAAATTTTTCCAGGTACGATTAGTCAACTGGTTGCTTTCGGCCCCAATTTCCGCCTAGTTATGACAGTAACTGGTGTCTTTGGTTAGCTGATTAGATAATACCCTTGCCATATGGCCACCGTTTCTTCGACACTGAAATTCGACACAGTCTTGCACCGTGTATTCGATTAGATCAAAGAAGCTCCCACTTAAGCAAAGATCTAAATCTTTGTAGGATTCCCAGTTGGGGACAGCGATAAAGTGATTAATAACTTGAAGGCTCTTGAAAAGCAATCTTAAGTCGTTGCAAAGTAATGATATTGCTTATCATGAGTAATCAACTTGTTTGCGATGTCTAATCTTTGGATTAAGTGCATAACCAGGGATCAAAACACCGGCCTTGTTAAGGTAATAAGTATAGAATAACAAACACCGATCAGTGGGAGTAACTCATATTTACTTGCAGTAAAAAAGAATTTTAGTCATCCCGGTTGCTATCAGCCGAATATATTAGCTAGTAATTAGCATGGGGGCTCACGTCCTATTCGAAATCAAGAACACACCGCCCCTTACTGCAACGAAAGATACCCCTTATCGACAGGGATCACCAATCAGTTTTCAAGTGCTCGTAAACTCAGATATCAGGTTGTCTTGCACTGGGATCAAAAGCAACCGTACCGGGTCTGGCTTTACGTTGTCGCGACCTTTACTCACAATTGTCTTTAATTTAATATTAGCTGCGCTATATACATATATGCATGTAAATGTACATATATAGAATATTTGTGATATATGCCGCCTCCTCGCGAAAATCGAGTGTTGAACCGCTGGGCTTGACTGTGGGCGCGCGACTGTCCCCGAGTCGCCGTGGAATCGCCGATTTCGGGTATGGTTCTGGGACGGGACTGCATCGAGAACGGTGGAACTGTGGAACTGTGCGAACGTCATGGCTAGGTGACGCATAACCTAATGACAGTAGAGCGATACTCAGGTATAACGGAGCGAAAGATCCCACATATTACAGCCATTACCGACCAGGTGGTGACTGTTACATTAAATTAACACCTTGTGTCAAACGGCAGCTAATGCCCGGTGATAAGATAACATCATTGTAGTCCATTACCGGCGGTGTAATCATTACAATATTATCACGATCGGTGGGGATCTACACTGCTCCAGATATGTCTGGCTCAAAGATGAACCGACCGGAAGTTTCCGTTTCAGTCGACATGTTTCATATATACCTACCATAAATATTCGTTACACGAAGAGCGCCCCAAACTTTCTCCTGACACCCGGCATTGTTTTCAGCACACCAATTTTTCAGATTTGCTATAGACTTTTCTATATATGAAGATAACGATATTATCGCTAATGATACATTTGCTTATATCAGTGATACGATAATACATATACAATAATATAATATCGGAATGGACTTTTTGTTTCATTTTTAGCTCCGTCATCATGGTTATGTCAGTTTTGTGTGCATCAGGTCATTCGAATTGGGGCAATCCTTCAATTATGTAAATAAACTTACTGTTTTTCTGACTTCCAAATAGATTAGGGCTTGTTAAGTTGTGATAATAAAATCGTTACTTTTACTGTGTTTCACTACACTTATTTCATTGATTTATGACATTCAAATACGGGAGTTGCTTGGGACGTTCGTAAAAATTTTAGACAGTAAAAATTTAAAAATAAAAACGATTCTAATTCTGACAGTTCCACCCTCAATCCTCTATTTTGTGAAAAACTGGCATATTCGCTAGGTACTAAAATAGAATTGGTTTTTGCCGACTTCAGCATTACTATGGGATAAAGTGACAACAGAAGGCAGGTCTAGTCATCGCAATTTAATTTGAAACTCTTAACTATATTTTTCTTCCCAGAAAAACTACTTCCTTTTTGTGTCGAAATGTATTCATATTTATTTGATTTTGTTTCGGTACAATGTATATAAAAAGATAGTTAGCAGCTAAGTATCTTATATAAACTGAACTAAAAACTAACCAAAATGTAAGAATTTCGTTCTCAGCTCAGTTTTTCTTTCGTTTACAATCGCGCAAAATTTATGATAATATCACATTCATAAATATAAATAGTTAGAAAGGTTCGCCAAATCAAGAAAAGCGGAGCATACGTTCGTCAATAAAAAGCAATAAAATACTTATTTATAAGGCAGTTGTGGTTTCGAATTTCATCATTGGATATTCGACGCTTCCTCTATATACTTAAAACATTATTTATTTCCACACTTAAGTAGACTTATAGTTACGGTATAATCATGTTGATTTATCTTATAAGTATGGTATATAGATCTGGTAAAACAGCCCTGCTATTTGTTCAATAGATGGCGCCAGTGTGCACAATTGGCAAGTGTCCATGAATAAATCAGCCAGTGGGCGAATCGTAGAATTTTCATCTATTTGCGAATCTCACTTGGGTGTTGATTTATTTCCATTAAATCTAAGGAAAGGCCGCTCGGTGTCGTCTTTGGGGGCATTCAAGCGCCAGACTGTCACACAGTTGCGCTCTGCTATATAGATCTTCTTAGATCTGCTCTAATTATTACAATTTACAATGTAGTCCCTATCTTTTTGGAGAGCAAAAAATGGTTCTCACTTGAACCCAAATTTGGAACAAGCCCTAAAAAGGCCTTTTGTGAAAAATACGAGGCGAACCGTGGATCCTAATGCTAGAGATTGCTTAGCCTAAGCCCTGCGTTCAATCTTAACTCCGGCAGATCGTAAAGGCAATCAGGAGGATCGGGAGCAGGAAGAGGCTGATCCTGTGCTCTCTGGCGCCACTCCTCCCCGTTTCCTCGCTCCCGTCGCCCTCGTTCTCCCCGGAAACCAGGGACGCCGTATATCGCTGCTCGTCATCCACCTCGTTGGCACTCCGGGCGCACTGCATCCATTTCCGGGACGACAACTTGGGCCTGGCATGGGCCACCTTCATGAGGTCGTCGCTGAACTCCCAGTACCCCAGGTTCTTGAAGAAGTACGTCTTGCCATCCAAGTACTGGAACGCCGTGTCAATGTTGTAGCCCACTCCCGACCAGATGCTCATGTCCCGCGGATAAAATGGGTCCACCTGACCCGTGGTGTCGTTGAATCGCCAGTACAGAGTGCCGCTGGTGAAGAAGGTATTGTTGTTGTGGCCCCACACGAAGGAGGCATCGATGTGGGACAGAGTGGTCGGCAGACCCAGATTGGAGAGCGGCTTGGGGAAGCCGGGAGCCAGGTTCACCGAGTTGAACACGTAATACTCACGACCTAAGAAAAGAAAAATCAATATTATAAACAAGTGATGAGACTGTTTTAACGTTAAGGATATACATTTTCATACTTTAAAAGATACTAGGATGCAATAGTGTCTAACACACATTTTATTAATCTTTGATAATTTAAATTGTTACTTTTAACAATGCTGATTAAAATTTAAGTGAATAGTTAAAGTGAAGAATATCATGTGATTTTTCATCAGTAAAGTTTAAAGCATTGAAATAACAGTTTTTAGGATCTACTTAAACATTTTGTAACTCACCTATGAAGAACACAATCTGTCGCTGTTTGTTTTCATACACCGCATCCACTTTGGTGAGATTTTCGGGTAGAGCAGACCAGTGCCTCCTGGTCTCCGTGGGATAACCAGGATACAAGCCGGATGCTCCAATGCGCCAAAGGAACTGTTAAAAAAGATTTTATATCTTTAAGTTCGATTCAGGTAATATTACTTGTATTAAAATCTTACCGGTCCCCGGAAGATGAACAGTTCGCCGCGAATCATTGAGATGGCATCGTATGAGGTCATGCAGGTGTCTGGTTTGGGTTTCCGTGGTTTGTTGTGGTGATGGCTCTGCCGGTGCCATCCATTTTGGTATGGCCTGGTAGTGGGTCTCCTGGTGGTTGGTGCTGGGCGAGTTACTGGGTTCTGACTTGTATTCCTTTCCCTTTCGGCACGCTCCCACTCCAGGCGCTTCCGCTCCTGGCGGTCCCGATCCTGGCGGTCTCGATCCTGGCGTTCCCTCTCCTGGCGCTCCCTCTCCTGGCGCTGTCGTTCCCACTCCCGTTCCCGCCGACGATCCTCCTGCTCCTGACGCTCCTGCGCCTGGCGCTTCCGTTCCTGCTCCTGGCGATCCCTGGCCCGCTCCCGTTCCTTGTTGGGTCTGTAGACTGGCTTGTCCGGGTAGTAGCTCATCGTTCGCATGGTCGTCGTGGTGGTGCTGGTGGTCGTCGGACGCGGTCTATAGGGTCCCCAGGTCTTCTCCTTCGAGCCGTACAGCTCCTGGATGCCATGGCGATCGTCGTCGGGCAGCTTGCCATCCACCTCGTTGTTCTGGTACCAGGGATACATGATGGCATTCACGTCCGAGGAGTGGCCCAGTCCCAGGGAGTGACCCAGTTCGTGCAGGGCCACGTTCAGAAAATTGGTTCCTGCAACGACAGGACACGGAATGCAACATAAATACGCTGACTGGTTAATGGCGGGCGAAAAAAAGGGGGTCAAAAGAGGACGGAGGCGGGGAGTTGGGGGTTAAGACGCGTTCGTCGCCTTGACGACTTTGTAAGTGGCATAAAAATGGCGACGCTTGCAACATTTTAAAATGGCTGCCAACGTCACGCGTCATGCTGACAATTTTTTATTGGCATTAAAAACCATTAAAAATGCCGAAGAGCTGTTCGGGCATTTCAGGGGTTTCCAGCGGGGTTCACGGGGTCTGGGGTCTGGGGTCTGGCCTGACGATTTATTGTGCTAAATTACAAAACGCAAGCGGCAGCCTGCAGGCATCGCGTCGCCAGTCAGGGTCTCCTCTTCCACTTTCTCCAGGATTCGGGGTTTGCCCATCTACCCGACCCATTTCCCGCCGCAACGTATGCAGCATTTATTGATTTTGCCGCGTGTGGTTTCAGTTTTTCACGCCCTGCACTTACAAAAATAGGGGGGTAATTAGGTAAAAAAAATTACTTATGTAATTTAAATTAGATTCTGCCTGACGGTATTATAATTAATACTAATTTAGGTATCTAAGAAAAGGTAATAACTTAATTGACTTCTGTTAAAAAAGTATTTACCATGAATTTTATAAATTCATTTCAAAATTCAGTGGAAATTTTGTTTGCTTTAAATTAAGAAAATTATTGACTAGGAATGACAAAAATGTTACTGTTTCAGAATTTTGAAAGGGTTATTAGCCAAAAAACCTAAAAGGAAAACGATTTACTTGAAGGACAATTATAAAAAAAATCTATAACTTTTATAAATTCAAAAATTAAAAGGTTTAAAGCCTATTCAAATCATGAAGTTTCAGTGCATGCTAATTTCCCCGAGTATAGGCCCAAAAATGCCGCAGACCAGATGGCACCGCCAAAAAACACTATTGCCCGCTAATGCAATTAATAAACGTCAAGAGCGTAATGCAATTATGTGGCAGGGACTCCATCAGATTTGATGAACTGCACCTACCACGGCTGTCGTCGGCTCCGCCATCGAAGTCCCAGGTCTCGTCCGCATCGAAGTGGGCATCTCCGCCACGCCCCTCGCCGGGATAGAAGGCGTGGGCCAGCACCTGGCCAGGTCCATCGAATTTATAGCCATCGCCGTGCTGGAGCCTGTGAAGAGGAAACGGAGATCCAGAGTGGATACCCCGGATTAGTATGGGTTTTCAGAGGAATTACGAGCACGGCCAGGGAGAAATCATATTCACAGCTTATCTAGGAACAAGCAGCAGCCACATAAACTCTTTGATTCACACAGGATCCAGTTGCTCCTGGCACGGCCATCGACTTTGTCATCGGTGGCATTTCATCATCGACGTCGTTCCATGGATTTAATACTTGGCTTATTTATCGTTCGCCTGGTTTTAAGTGCAATTTTATGTGCGCTTGTTTATGGCACTAAAGACTCGCATTTTATGATCTCCCCACCTACCAGTGCTCTGGATATGGATACATCTTCAATCCCCTAGAATTTCGAGTACGCACCGTGCAAAGACTATCTGAATGTCGGCCTGGTCGCTGTAGACCTCGCGGAAAGTCAGCTTCGAGTTGTTCTCCCAAACGCTCAGGGCACGGCTCACCATCATCCGGACTTTCTGGGCATCAGGCATCGTCCGGTTGACCAGGCTGCAAAGGAAGACGGGAAACATGATATCAGCATGCTAAGATATTCCACTTTGTAAGCGTTCCCTCTTTTACATAATACAAAAAGTCAGGGAAAGTTTCTTACACACAGAGGAAGAAATATATGTGTGATTTTAAGTTTACTTATGATTTTCAACCTTATATCAGTATTATTAAATATTAAAGCCAGATTTCGAAAAATGTGACTAATCATACAAAGTGTTCTCTTGACACCAAAACTGAATTTTCCCTTTTCCTGAAGAATTCACGTTTGATTTATTTTTTATCCTTGAGTAAAACTCAACTAACCAGTCCTTGGAAATAATTATTTAGGCTCAAAAAGCAAAGTAGTTTGAAGATCCCTAAATATTTTTTTCTCTGCACCCATGTAGGCCTTGGGTCCTTGTCTTATCTTGGAATATTTTGCAAACCGCTAATATGGTGGCCAGTGCCAACTTTCACCCACCCACACACTCCACTTTCACTTTGTCATGCTAAAAGTTTCGCTCACTTAAAGACTTGGGCGGAACGGACCTTAGTGGTTTTCACTTAGTTTAGTATTTTGTAAATTTTGCTCAAAGTTTGGCAAACACACACAGTGTACCTGGGAGCTCGGGGTCGAAACCGCAGAGGGTTTGGCTTTTGGGGACATCTCTGCACTGGCGTCTTTTCCCCGATTTCAGTCAACAAAGTTAGCAGCTCCCTTCGTTCCGAGCAAACTGAGATATCTGTGTGCTGCTGCCGTGTTTCCGCATTTTATGCAAATTAGTTATGTTTCTTTTATGCCGGACCCGTCTGCTGCTGCAGCAAACTAGCGTAGAAAAAATACAGGGCCGAAAGTTGATCCCTTTTGCGGTCTGGCCAGGACCTTGTTTGCCTGCCTCTCTGCCGTATGCTTTCTCCTTTCCAATTTGCCGGGTTTTTTCCCTCCCCTTGGGTTGACTTTTTGGCCAGGATTCTGTAGGTGCGTGTTGTTCTTCAATATGCATTGAGGCATTTAGCCACTTGCAGCCGGAGTGATCGGTCCACTTAAAAGGGACAGCCTTGTTGTCTCTTGTTCCAAACTGCTTCGCTTCCAATTACATTTTTTCGAGCCATTAAGCCAGGGGACGGGCAGATTCCCTAGCCTCCAATAAAGCCCTTTGATATTGGCCGAAGAACGGGAAGCGAAAAAATGCCTTTGCTAATAAACTAACGTGGTTAACCAACTCGGTTTGGCCCCTCTTTTAAGGACCGATTCTCGTCTGTACGTTAAACTAAAGGTTTCGAGCTGTAAACCTTCTGTTATTCTGTTATTTCTCAAATATTTTCATAACACTTCAAATGGGTCTCTAAACTAAAGGTTATTCAATAGTTTAGTTTACACCTTTTATAGAGATAATAATAAAAATAATTAATTTAGTAAAGAAGAAAAAAGTCTCATAAATACATTAATATATTTCTAGCCTTTTTTGATTATTTTCTGAATATCTGGATCCCCAGGGATTTGGTTTTCATTCTTATATGAGTTCCGTTTAAGATTATTTTCTAAGAGAATGGTAAGTGGGATTTTTCCTACTCACTATTTTGCCTTTTACACATCCCCATAATATATAACCATATAATATGGACTATAATATTATCTGTTAGGGATTAAAAGAAGGGAAACTTTCATCACAAAGTGCTTTGCTACTCCTTAATTTGTCATTGCAATGGAATTCAAGGACTCAGCGCAGTTTAGCTTCTACTCATCTCCCAGCAATTTGCTTACTCAGTGGCACACACATCCTGCGAAAACATCTTTGGACGCACGTGCTGTCAACTGCCGCATGCCACTTGACCTGCCACATGGACAGGAACCGAGGACAGGAACAGGAAGGGGTCTCTGGACAGGCTGAAACTTAAGCCCGACCTCCGACTCCTAGTGCGACTTTCGGTTCGACTCTTGCCGTTGGCCAAACTGAATCACCGTGTCGCAGTTCATTTCCATCGCTCGACAAAAACGTGCTCAATTGCAACGCCATTTGTTTGCTCGGCCGTTGATCTGAAAGGCCCAAGCCTTTTAGATTCGGTTACAGAAGGGGTTAGGGAAGGGGTTCGGGAAGGGGTTCGGGAAGGGGTTGGGGAAGGGGTTCGGGAAGGGGTTCGGGAAGGGTTTTGATAGGGTAGTGGAACTAAGGACCGTTTGTCGTTTGCTATTTGCGCAGAGCTTGTTGCTTGCCAGGGTAAATTAACTCAAGAAGGGGGCACCTTCTAATCCCCCGGCTGTTAGGACACTCCGACTCCCGACTGGCGACCCTTTGTCGTGCTAATTCTGTTGCTGCCGCCTTTGGATTTAAATGCAAACCGCTGCAGTGCATCCGGTCACGTAGCCATTTGCAGTTGCTTCTGCTGCAACAGTCGCCGTCGCCCCCTCGGCTGCAGCTTGACCTCTGTTTGTCTTTGCCATGTCACTCTGTGTGCCCAGCATTTAAATTATTATGAACCTGACGGACGGCAGGACGTTTACAGGGGTTTTTCAGGGGTTATGCGGGGAAAAGGGTGAACCGGAACGTGCATTTGGGGTTCCAACTGCCTGGCTGTCTGGGGAAACGTGTGCTTCGGCCAATTTGTAGCCTTACACGTAAAACAAACTGAACAATTAGCCAAATGGATGGAGTCCACCTTTTTGGCCGTTGAATAACAAAAGGAAATCAGTTGGCTGCGTTGCATGCGAGTCCTTTGAGCTGGAAAACAGTCTGTACGAGGTCCTTGGTGGCCAACAGTCGAATGTGGATCCACCGCATCCTTGAGATATAAAAGAATGCCATTCGTTACTCTGAATTATGAAGGACTATACATTTAATAATGTATTTGTTTAGCACCTTTTTAAAATAAACATTTATTTTTAATCTTATCCTTCCTACCTCAAACTGCATCGTCTTAAAGAGTAAAGAGTTTTAAAGGAATAAGAACCATTCCAATGCAATTTGTGGCAATTTGAAGGATCCTTTCAAATGTTTTTGTTGAAATTTTATCAAAAATGCTTTTTATTATACAAGATAAACCTTAAAGAAGATACCTATACACATTCTAACGCAGTTGGGTTACTAAGAAAGTGACATATAGTATTTCAAACTTTCATTTCGAGATAAACGCATTTTAAGTTTTGAAGCTCTATTACGCTCAATAGAATTAAATATTGTCTTTTTTGAAAAAACCTCTGGTGGTTGACGAGATTCAATGATTTCTAAATATGGAAAAAAGAAATCTTTATCCACTTCTGCGGTATTTCAGATCTTTAGTACTAGTTTCTTAAAGACTTTATTGTAATAATGGAGTAGGTAGGGTAGCGAACAACTTGATTCCGTCGATTGAAACAGATTGGTAATGCCCGACATTTGCAAATATCAAGTGTGGTAACAAGGGCTTAACCTGCTCGTAAGCCTTTGATATTTTCAACGCAAGCAAATCCTTGGGATGGCATCCTTGTTCATCTCCTGCGACGTCGCCATTACGCCAACCTGTGACAACTGAAGGTTGTGGAGCCGCAATATGTCAGCCGACACACACATGCGAATTTTGATTAAAATTGCACCGGTACGGGATATCACAGGATATCACGGGGGTATCCTTGCAGTCCAACGTCGTGGATGTCGTCTGTCGATGGCAATTGATTGAATTGAGCACATCGGGCCATGAAATGTTTGTCCGCAGGCTAACAACTAAATCACCGTCGGCAGTCGGCAGTGGGGAAGGCTTTTGCATGAAGTCGGCAACTAAGTCATGGCCAAAATACCTAGGAACAAACACCCAAAAGCCGTAATGGAAAAGGCCGGCGGCTCAGACGACTGCGGGCATTGAATTTTGCAATTTCTCCTCAATCGCATAGATTTTTCTTTCGCGCAGAGACAATTTCGTGCACATTTTACTTGAGTTTTCCTGCCATCAACTTCCGCCGAAAGTTTTCCCAGCATTCTACGGGTATATATATATATTTTATTTTTTTTTAGATTTTCGCTTTGTTGTCAGACAGCTATCGAAAAAGTTTACCCATGTTTGTGCTTCGGCTGCTGCAGCTAGCAAAATGAGTTTATTTTTTGCTTAATTTCGCACAAATTAAAACGCTTGGAAAATAAGAAATCTTCTCTTTTCCTGGCAATTTTTCCTTGTCGTCGCGCGAAAACTTTGCTCCTGCTTAAAATTTCAAATGTTCCGTGGATGTTCTGAGTCAATTACATAACTCTTGTTGCTCAGCTGGACGCATTTCGACATGAGAGTGAAAAGTGCTGGGGGCTGGAATATTCCCCGAAGTGCAAAGTGGCAGGAACATGTCTCATAAGTGTCGAGCTCAAGTTGAATTTACGTTGGATATTAAGGCAAAAGCGCTGGGTTAATTTAAAGCAGGCGAACTGTCTTTGAGCCAACCTCAAAATTCCGTGGGTATATCGTTTTACTTTCGTGCACCTGTTCTCGGGGTCGAAAATCTGAACTCCGCCCCAACGACAAACATAATTATGCTTAACCGTCTGCTCAACATTAAAAATTTAAGCCTTTGTTATGGGAAGTGTGTGTGTGAGTGGGCCAAAAAGGGTTTTTACCTCAGGAAGTGGGAGTTGGAGTGGAAAACTCAATAAAATAGCTTAAAAGCAGGACAGCCACCCGGCTAAGTCTTAAAATAATAGCCCGGTCAGACTGTCCAACTGGGCTTTACGTGGTTTTCCCTGGATTTCCCTGGATTTTCCCCGGTTGAAAGCCACAATAACCCACACGCGGCGAAGGAAACAAATGACTTTGCATCTTGTGTTGTCATAACAAATTTAATTAATAAATAATCGCAATTTAGCCACAAGAGTAATAACGAAAAAGAAGTACGAGATGGTTATAAATGGAAATTTACCATTAGCCAGAGATCCCAGAAATTGACAGAGTCTCCATACACAGATATCCCAGGCACTTCCCAGTGACAAGTCTCAAGTGCTTAAAATTGCAAATGTTATTTTCTCATAGAGAGCACACAACCAGACGGACGACCGACACATGCG